ACATGCTTCGTGGCAACTGCTGAAAATGTTCTTTTAGGGGATTTGTCCATTTTTTCCAGTCTTTAACTAGAAGGATCTGTCTTGTGTTAAGTGGTTGAAATATTTTACGAATACGTGTGATTAATAATTTCATGTTAGTGGTTGAAATATTTTTATTAAATTTGAAAGTTTGGCATGATGTAGACCTCTTGCCATTATATTTCATATTTTATCTAATTTCAGAAAACGTAAAATTTACCACCAAGGGGTAGAATGCAAACCCCCGAAAACGGTGAGATGGCCCGTACCTTGAAACTGATTTCCCTTTCCCTTTTATTTTATTTTATCGAGGCCATTGCATTTATTTATAGAATCTTATGAATTTAGTGGTTTAAAGTTTCCTATTTAGCAGTAATTGTTGTAGTCATTTAACTTTTTGTTAATGGTACATAGTTGAAAACGATTTAGTGTTTTTGGTCAATATGCTTGGGCAAGAATGGGTTTTTATCTGGGAGATGTTTCTCTCTGAAATTAGTGGATCTTTCTCTAGGAAATTAATGACAAATATACTCGGGCAAGGCGTAGCAGTCACCTTTCAAATTGCTGAATCCTCAACAAAGTAAATACAAAAAAGAATTAATTAAATATTAATAAAAGCGAATTCCTGTTATTTGCACCTTGCAGCTAGGCTGAAACTACGGAAACTGCTACTGGGACCTTCAGTGGTCTCATTGTGAGGGTCCTGGCTTGCATTAGGTGCTTTCTTGCTTCAGCTATATACTCGGATGTGTGTAATGTTATCTTTTGAATGTTCTTTCGTATTTGTGATCCAATCTTCCCACTTATTCTTGATTGCAGCTGAATCTAAGCGAGTATATATATTGTTGCTTAATATTTCCGTCGTCATGAAAAACAGCTTTGTCTTCTAGGTTGATAGATATAAATGAAGTGCAAAAGAGCTGTAAAGTTCTCCCATGAAGCATGTTTCGAGCTTGCTAATGTCCATTGTAAAAGAAATTGATGTTGAGAATGGCCCTCGATTTTGGATGAGGCTGGAAGCTAGGTTTGCATTTGGCAAACTAAGGGGCTACTTGTAGATAAAACATGCTAGTGAAATTGGTGATACTGAAGGATCACCTATAGCTTTGATGATAAAAATATGGAAGACGAGATGAATCTTGCATCTCGATGTGTGAGGCTGTGGGCTAATAATAGAATGAACCTGAGAAGGTCCTAAACAACACTTTTCCAACTTTGAATGTGTGGTTAATCAGGGATGATTGTAAAAAAGATTACAGTTTAACTAGAACCCAATCACCAATGGCCAAGTGGACATCACATATATGATGGTCAACCATGACCTTCATTATGTGCTAAGCCTGATACATATTTTGGTCTAGTGTCTTTAGCAGTGTCTCAATCATGCAAAATAGTATCAATCACCATAATGTTTGATGTGCCAAAGACATAAGAAGGGATGATAGATGCAATCGACCATAGAGAGCCTGGCAAGGAGACATTTGTATAGCTATATGAAATGTAGTTTTGTAACATCCCTTTGCTGACATAAAAAAAATAGAAATACCATAATCGAGGAGTAGTAGAAGTATATGTATGCTTATATTGCTCTAAATACCGATTGAGAACTTCGGCTAGGCCATCCATTTGAGAATGGTAAGAAGTACTGTAATAAAGTGTGGTACTACTTAATGTAAAAAGTTATCGCCATAAACTACTTAAAAAGATGCTCATTTGGCACTATGGGTTTAGGAAAACCATTTAAATGGATGACCATAATTATAAGTAAATCGACAACTCTGGAGGCAATATAATTAGCAAGTAATGGTTCATAGTGAGTGCATTTGGAGAGATGATCATTGACTACAATAATAGAAATGTACCCTTTGGAGTTGGGCGGGCTAGTGATGAAATTCATGCATAAATCCTCAAAACTATGAGGACACTGGAAGAGGTTAGAGAAAGCCAGCAGATGCTATGAATTTAAGATGACATGATACCCTTGCATCATGAATAAATAGAATAAATAAATCTAAGATGACATGATACCCTTGCATCATAATTGCGAGACTTGCATAGTAATAAATTTTCATTGCCCACAGATTCCTTAAATTGTTTAATCGGTTGTGGTTGGAGACCGAGGTGTTGGATGAGGTTATCTTGAATAACATTATGAGTGCTACCAATATCATTTAAAATACGAGCATTCCACTAGTTAATATAGCATGTCAAATGGAATGTGTATGGATTGAGTTGGTTGGCTAGTGCATTGAGGCTTTTTTTCGAAGATAGCTCTTGAATACCAAGGTTGATAGTAGGAGGGATAGGATCTCTAGGAGAATTTGGGCCATGCGTGCCTAATAGAAAATAAAATCTATTCGGATAATGGTATTGGGATTCAAATTAGTGTCAATTACAATACAAACCTTTGTCACGACTATATTGAATTTTAGCTTCTAAAAGCTTTTGAATAGGAAGTGTGGGTGCTTTGGCATGTGGGAAGCTGGGTGATTAAGGCAGTGGCGGAGGGGGAGGGGGGGGGGGGGGGGGGGGGGGGAGGTTAGGCGGTGGAGGCTTGGTAGTGGAAAGGACAGGAAGTGATTTCCGCTTCCGCCATTGTTAGGAAAATATGAATAGAGAAATTTGAAATTTAAATTTGTGATGATGAGATTGTTCCATCGCATCTAAGAGAGTAATTCATTTTGCTGGCAAAAGTTCTCTATGCAATTCTTATTTATGATCGGAAATAAAATAACTAATGAGAGTTGGTTCGAATAATTTTAGAACTTTAAAAGCAAGCTTTTCGAAAGCCGTTTGGTATTCAAGAATAGAAGTTTGTTGGGTTAATTTGGAAAGGTTATCATGTAGGCCTTTGTAAGAAGAAATATCAAAATATTGTTATAAAGAAAGCATGAATTCGGGCCAAGAAGTATTATGGCCTTTCATTCGTAGTCATTGATACAAAGTGGCTCTGGGGCTTTCAAGATGAAAATAAGCTATACGATATGAAAAACGAATTATTCATATTCTTTATAGATCCATGTTTCTACATTGGAACCGTTAAATTGAGGGAGTTCGATTTTCATTGTTTTAACAAATGAAACACTTGCATTGTTGGGTGGAGATTGCTGCTACAAATTTTTGGCTGCATAACCAGGAATGCCGGTGATGGGTGTGGTTTCTTGGTGGCTGGAACTGAAAGACCGGTCGGTGCAAAGACTATTGAGGTGTTTATCCACGAAATCCACGAATAATTGAAATCTTTGTAAGGTAGTTGCGATCGTGGTGAATTGGCATCAGCTTGCTGTAAAGATTTCTGAAATTTTGAGGACTGCATGTTTTGATTGGACTGCATTCTGTGCAAGTTGCAGCTAAATCTGAATTCTTCATCTTGAATGATGAGCCAGTTGATATACTTGTGTATCAAGAAGCGTAGGAGACACCTTTGGAGTAGGGAAAAACTCCTAGAAAAGAGTTAGGAAAAGAGGAAAATAGATTTTGTATGTCTTATTGAAATTATTACAGCATGACTATTTAAAACCTCAGTTTTCTTAATGGATGAACCTGTTTGAGCCTACTAATTGAAATGAAGAAAGTAATACAAAAAAGAGTGAATTAAATATTAATAAAGTTAATTCCTGCTGTTTGAATCCTGCGGCTGGGCTGAAACTACTGTTGGGACCTTCGGTGGCCTGGTAGTGAGGATCATGGCTTGCATAATGTGCTTTCCCTTTTTCGTGATATACTTGGATGTATGCATTGTCATATTTGGAATGCTCTTCTATATTTCTGACCCATTCTTCCTACCATTTTTTAAAATTGCGCAATACGAGGCTTTTCTTAAGGCCCGCCTCAGCGCAATTCTATTGTAAAACGCCTCGAGGCTTATGCCTCAAGCTTTTTTTATGAGACTTACGCCTCATCTTGACTAAGGTCCACCATGAGGCATGCGTCGCCTCGCTGGCATGAGGCATACGCCTCGCTCTATTTATTTATGTTTTTTATTTAAAACTTAGACAAATCCTATACAAAAGCCCAAAAAAAGCATGTCTTCTTGCACTTCCATGCCACAACAACTTCATCTAAATTGTCTTGACCTCCAGTTTATCTCCTTTGCCGTAGCCACCACCGTGTTAGCCTCCGCTGAGGATCACTTGAAATCTGCATGACACTATAATTTCCTTTAAAATTTTTGGAGTATTAATCTTATCTTTATGTTGATGATAAACATTTATGAAAGATGGATATAACTGAAATAAATAAAGAAGCAGATTGAGAGGTATTGGACTCTACAGGATGAGGCAGGAGAGAGACCAATTTGTTATGACAATGACTCAAATAAAAATACCCTTAATAATGACAGTCCAGATGATTTTTGTGTTATTGCCAATTATTTCAGCTTTCTTTAGTAGTTAAATGTAAATTAGTAGGGAACTGAGAAAAGAATAAATTTAGAGCTAAACTTGATGTTATATGATACGTTTTTGCAATTCATATATTTTATGTTGTTTTTCTTTTGTAATATTTGGATTTCAATTCTATTTCACATAATTTATTACTTGTCACTTTACATTTTGTGCAATTTGTTGTTTCATATATATATAAATTTGTTACATAATGGTTCAGTAGAAAGTTAATATGTTATCCTTTAACATATTATTTGGGTATAACTTTTATTTTTTTTGTTATACACAATTTTTAGATTTTGAGGCTTACGCTTCAAAACGCCTTGAGACTTACGTCTCGCCTTACGAACGAAAAACGCATCAATACCCAATTGCGTAATTTTAAATCTTGATTCCTACTCATTCTTGATTGTAGTGGTATCTAATCGAATAAATTGTTACATCTTCTCAATGACTCGAGACATGATTAAATATAGGATCTTAGAATATGACCTGCTTTTATGTGAAAGATGCATTTTGGATCTAACAACTCATCGCATATTATTACCTGCCTTTGACCCACAATCTGTACTAATTTATTTCACTTGTATTATTCAGCATAAACACGGTGTACTACATGGCACCCTTTGCAACCATGATATTAGCGCTGCCAGCGGTGGTGCTTGAAGGAAGCGGGGCAATCAACTGGTTCTACACCCACCCATCTATTCATTCGGCAATAATCATTATTCTTACCTCAGGCATATTAGCCTTTTGTCTCAACTTCTCAATCTTTTATGTGATCCATTCCACCAATGCAGTCACCTTCAATGTTGCTGGGAATCTGAAGGTAATCTCCATGCATTGGTAGTGCCTTTGACAATCCCTAATCTCCAATGTTTTGTACTTGACTAATATTTTTATCTATTTTTATTCTGTACTCAGGTTGCCGTTGCTATTTTGATTTCATGGTTAATCTTCAGAAACCCAATTTCTGCCATGAATGCTGTCGGCTGTGTTGTGACGCTCTCAGGTTGCACATTTTATGGGTATGTAAGGCATAAACTATCTCAGCAACAGCCAGGAACACCCCGAACTCCATGCAACCCTCGAACTAAAATGGAGATGCTCCCCCTTGTAACTGACAAGCAGGATAAAGCCTAAGCTTAAGTCCCATCTATTACAGCGGATGATGACGTTACATGAATCAAGATTATAACCCAAAATTTAAGATGGTTGGGCATCTCCCACCTTATGCCTTCTGCTGTCCAAGACCAACTAAGGTTTCTTACATTGCTTTTTAAATGATATGAGAATTGTCATGTCGTTTTAATACCTTTTTTCCATATTTAAATTAAAATGTTAGATTGGTTGACGTTTCGTTGCAAGTCACAACCTCATATTCATATTGGAATTTCATTGAAGTGCTATGATTTTCTAAGCTCTCTGAAAGCATATACACCTTGTTTGGAATCAAACAGATCAGTTCAATTAGTTCTGTCGGAAGGAACAAGGTTATAACACGGTTTAAACGAAGTGAAAGTAAAATAGGGTAAACAATTTGGCGGAATGCTTCTTGATTCAAGGCTACTAATAACTTATTTTGGGGGCCTCAAATATTTCATTGCTAGGTGCTTCGCCATCTGTTATTTAAGCCAAGTGCCAAAGCTCTGCAACTTCGTGCTAACCAGGTAGCCACCAACTCCCTTGCGGTACTTCCTGGCAAACAGTCAAGCAAATCTGCTTTTGTTAATGCAATCCTCCACAAATTCGTCGCCGCTACTGCTAGACAAGCTCTTGTCAGAAAACAAAATTACTAATTTAAAATCAAGGGCACATCGGTCAATGTTCACGTTTAAATATGCGGGTTTAATGAGGCATTCCTGCGCTCTAGGGTTCTCTCGTTCTGCGCCGCCTACAACCTTTGTTCTCTTTAGTGCCGGTGGAGTGGATCCCTCCCTCTCCACCGCCGTTTTTCCTCCACTTCCCTTAGCAAATTCCCCCTCTTCACATGCAACCCAAACCCCCTTCGGCTCCCTCGCAAAACCCCCTTCCTTGGACTCGCATCATTGCTGATAACCCTAACCCTAATAAGTTTGCTATCTTTGCTCTACCGACTCCGGAGGAGATTATTCCCTTCCTGCGTGAGGAAGTTGTTGATGCATCTCTCGAATGGAACCAAGCGCTAGTGGGATCTCGCTTGGTAAGCATCCATACTATGGCTCATTGCTTGCTGCGGTGAACAAGATATGGAAGCTTAAAGGTAGTTTTAAAATGATATCTCTTAGCGATGCTTTCTTCCTGTTTAAGTTCTCTTATGTTAAAGATCTCAAATATGTTTGGAACAAAGGGGTATGGTTTAGTTTGGGTGAACCGTTCAACTTGCATAAATGGTCGCCACTTTTTAACCATAAGAGGGAGGAGTTCACCTCGGTCCCCATATGGATTAAAATTCATGATCTTCCTCTTTGTTGCTGGACCCCGACTGGAATATCTAAAATTGCGACAAAAATAGGAATTCCTCTAGCTGTTGACGAGCTTACGGCCTCCAAGTCTCTTCTCACTTACGCTAGAGTATGCGTGCAAGTTGATTCAACCGCCACATACCCGGAATTCGTCCCTATCCTGGTAGAAGGGAAAGTCTTCAATCTTAAAATCTAATATGAATGGAAATCGTCGTCCTGTCAATGTTGCTCTTCGTTTATTCACTCGACTTCTAATTGCCCTAAAAATCCTAATCCCCAACCACAACCCCAAATTCCCCATAAACCTACCCGTGGGTGTAGTTCAAGCTGCAAACCTAGAAAGGATCCCATGGACCATAAATGGATCTTACCCACCCCTGGTAATGGTCACAATCAATTGCAAATGCCTTTGGAAGTAACTCAAAAAATCCCACATAATACTCCTAACATCCCTAACCTCAACTCTCCCAATGAGGATTTCTCCTCTACGGAAGCCTCTAACCCTCACTCTCCCGCCTCGAAAATAATTTCTCCCAAAGTCCAGGCTACTAACAAATTCTTTGTTTTGCAAGATATTCTGATCCGGAAGTAGTGATCTCTTCCAAAGAAAAATAAACTACTTCTCATCCCAAGATAGTTCAATTGAACCCTTCATCCTCCGACCCTCCCTTTACCTTCGAGACTCATCCCAGAATTTTAAATCAAACAAAATCTCAAGTCCCTTCTGATAAGGGCGCTTAAAATAAGTTAGCACGAGAGGAAAATGCTCCAAAAGGAGAAATCACTCCAAATCCTGATGTTGATTCCACCCTTTGCTGCGTGGAATATTAGAGGCTTCAACTACCCTGATAAAGTGAAAAGTGTTAGAAAGTTGGTTAATGACCATATGCTGGATATGGTTTGTCTTTTGGAGCTTTTGGAGAATAGAATTCTTCTTCCTAATTTAAATGACTCTTGGTTCTTCTCCTATCATGAGATCTTTGCTAACGAGCATAGCTGTAATAATTTTCATCTTGCTTGCCTGGGTAGGATCTGGGTCAAGTGGAATCCAGATAAAATTAAGTTCGATCCTTTTTTCTTCTCAAATCAGATGATTTCTGGCAAGCTCATTATGACATCTCATCATCCTATTATGCTCACTATTATATATGCTTCCAACTCTCATGATGAGAGAACTAGATTATGGGTTGATATTAAAACCCTTAAACGAACTCTCGTGGTTCGTTGCTGGTGATTTTAATTGCTGCCGTTATAGTTCTGAGAAAGCTGGTGGGAACCTGATCCCAGAAGCTAGGCTAGGTCAATTCAATTCTCTAATTTTTGATACTGCACTAACTGACCTTACCTCTACGGCCATTTTTTATACTTGGCATAATCAGAGAAGTGAAAATCCTATTAGTATCAAACTTGATAGAGCCCTGGTCAATGAGAATGGATCACTACCTTTCCAAATTCCTCATACAAAGTTCTCAGTTCCTCTATCTTAGATCACTCTCCTCTTTTCATATCTGGTGGTGAGCAAAGGAAAACATTTCATCATTTTATGTTTAAAAACCATTGGACTTGATATCATGAATTCTGGAATTTTCTCATAGACGTCTTTGCCTCACCGTTTGTGGGAAATCCTATTACTTGTTTCTATAACAAGCTAAAAAAATTCAAAGGACTGATAAAGAAATGCAACTGGCAGTCTTCTAATACACCATTATGCCTATGATTGATTTGCTTACCAATCAATAGTTGGAATGTCAGTTGCTTCTGGACATAGATCCCCTCAACTTTGAGCTTTGCACCAAACTAAATAGCATTAATTCCAAGCTGGTTCATTATAACTCCATTTGGTCCTCTTGGATGATCCAGCGAGCTAAAGCCAAATGGCTCTTACACGGGGAAGAAGATTTGAAATTTTCATATGCTAGGATTCATAGGAGGAAAGCCGGTAACAATAACACTATTGTGGGTGCTCTCCTTGGATGCCCTAAAGAACATGACTCTAAAATCCTAGATATTATCCAACACTTCAAGGGCTTACTCAACCAACCAAACTCTTTTACTATTGATATCAGTCAATTCCCAAAAGGCTCTAGTATACCGACCCATTTAGCTGACTGCCTCATCAAGCCTGTAACCTTTGAAGAAGTTAAAGCTGCGGTGTTCTCTGGTCATTCAAACTCTTCACCTAGTCCAGACTGTTTCAATTTTTATTTCTATAAAAAATGTTGGCATATTATAGGCAACAAGGTTTTTAAGGCTGTGCAATCCTTCTTCTCTCTAAGAGTTACCTTCCTAAGGGTTCTATAGCTACGACGCTTGTTCTTATTCATAATATTGCTCATGCTAATCGCATTGGAGATTTCAGACCTATAGCCCTTTGTAACGTCTTTTACAAAGTTATTGCCAAAATCCTAGCTGACCGTATGAAGCTGATTATGCCTGCTATCATACACAAGAGCCAAGCAGCTTTTATACCCAATAGATTGGCCACGGACAATCCTCTTTTGGCTACTAAAATTATGAATCTCTTCATTAAATCGAATAAAAGAAAGCTCTTTTGTGTCAAGCTCGATATTAAAAAGGCATTTGACACGATGTCCAAGGACATCCTCATTGCTAGAATGATTCAAAAGGATTTCCCGAATGTTTTCACTAATTGGATTAAGGCGTGCATTTATAATGTCAACTTTTATATTTGCTTGAATTAGTCATTAGAAGGCTAATTTTCGTCTACCTCGGGCCTTAGACAGGGTTTCCCTCTCAGCCCTTATCTCTTTTGTATTATTGTGGATAGTTTTTCTTGTCTACTAGAAGATCAACCAATGCTAGGAGGGTTTGAGGGCATCTTTATAAGTGATTACCATCTTACCCACTTATTATATGCGGATGATCTCATGGTTTTTGGCAATGCTATAGAGTCCAACTATATATATCTCAACAATATTCTGAAGAAATTTTCTAACAGTTCTGGTCTTCATCTTAATAGTCAAAAGAGCATCATCACTTTCTCTAAACACACTCCAAATTTCCTTAAGACTTGCGCAGAGACTGGTTAATAGCCTCCTTTCAGTTAAAAAGCCAAAACTCTCTCTCTAGCTGGCATGATGCAATACATTAAATACACTATTTCTAATACTGTGCTTTATTGGGTGCGAGCCATTTTTATTCCTAAAGCTGTTATTAAGTGTATTGGTAAATTTTGTGCCAAATTTTTATACTTCGGGGACATCAAAGAAAAGCACCTGCATATTATCTATTTGGTGAACACTTGTAAACCTCACTATTTCGGTGGGCTGGGTATCCCTTCCATTTTGGCTATGCGGTTTGCTTTTAATTGCTGCACAATAAGTAGAATTTACAACATCAGGTCCCCGCTTACTGACTTCCTGCTGGCCCAGTGTATTTCCCCTTGGAAGAATAATGCTGCTCAGTCTACCAACTTTTGGAAAAATATTTGCGATACTGCCAATCGGGTGAGAAACAAATTCTTGTTTATCCCTCAAAGTTATTGTCCGGCTTCTATAATCTGGGATCATTGGTGTTTGAGAGATAAAATTTCGAATAGATTTCCTGATTTTCCTATGCTTAATCACTATAAGGATAATGACACGATAGATAAAGGGATTTATAATGGAATTTGGTGCATTCCGGAGTCCATCTATGTGAAAATCAGGGAATTCATTAGTAGAATCGCTCTTGCAAATGACCAGGCCAATTTTTTGGTTTGGGATGGTAAACCGAAGGCTGCTTATAAAGATTTTTACATGGAATTTTTTGTGAATGAGGTCCCAGTTGACTGGTCATGTCTTATCTGGCATAAAAAACACTCCCAGATTTTTTATTTATACATGAATGGCTCTTTTGGATAGGTTAGAAACAGCGGATGTGTTATCTGGGAGAGGAATTGCTATTACTAACCCTCATTGCTATTTCTGTTTTAATAATTCTTAGACAATATCTCACTTATTTTTTGAATGTGAATATTCCTTTAATATACTGATCCGGCTGATCCCTAAAATGCAAAATTTTCTATTAGGACCTAATGTCTCTTAGGCATTAGAGTTTATTGGTGGCTTACCGGGTAATATAAGGAAAAAAATTGCACCCTTTTATTGTTCAATGCAATTATTTATCACATTTGGTGTGAAAGAAATAACCGAAAATTCAAATCTTCGGCAAAGTGCTTCTCCACTTTGGGTTCTAATAATAGCTAAAGCTGTGAGATTCAAGATAGCTAAATGGAAAAAGGGGATCCTACTGTTAGAGAATCTAAGCCCGTGGCGCATGCTCAGTATTGAGTGAAGATCTCGATAATTTTTTTGCTGCATCTTCTACAGTCCCATGTTGGGTTGGCTGGTGGCCTAGCAAAGACAAGTTGAATATATAATCTTTTGTCAGGCTTTGATTTCGTGCTTTGCCTGAACGATGATGTTAGCTTGACTATGAATCCTCTTGGAAGATCTTCAAGCAACCAGAGTATATGTTCCCCTAGGTTCTCTCTTCGACTGCCTTGATTTCAGTGCATTTTCCCTGATTTCTCAAAGTTCTTCATTGAGTTCTATCTCTAGTATTGTTCTCTTTTTGGAATTTCTTTTTTATTATGTTTCTTCTTTTTAGTTTTTCATTGTTTTTTGTTATTTGTAGTTGGTTCTTTATTAATAAAATGGCATAGTCCAGAAATCCTCCCCCCCCCCAAAAAAAAAAAAAAAAAAAGAGTTCGAACCAACAAATGAGAGGGTCGCCATAACCCAAGGACTACACAGATAACCCCCAATTATTGCACTTGGCTTTGTAGATACATGGGTAACCTCCAACTTGCGCACTTAGCTCAGTAGTCACTACTGTGGGTCCTTGGATCTTTAGAGCAAGGCGGAACTATCTTAATGCCCGAGGGGCAACGGGCAATTGCCCCCTAAAAAAAATAAAATATTTATAATGAGGGGAGTTTGGGAAAATTGACCATCCTAAAAATTTTTAGTTGCCTTACCCCACACTCATGCAGCCGCTCACCCTTTCGTACGAACTTGGACCTGTTTGAGTTTCCCGCACAACGCTGAGGTTGCTCGGCGCTTTCCGCTCTATAGGACAACATCACAGAATGTCACAGCTTGTTGCAAGCATGAAAATGTTGTTGATTGCAAGACAACGCCGTTCTAGCCTTAGAAGTAACTCGAAAGCTTTTCTCATTTTGTTTGGTCATCCAATCGTGAAAGTTTTCTCATTTAGTTTCGAGGAGCTATCTGAATTTTTCGATTTGATCATTTATTGGTAATAGCTCACTTAATTTCTGAGCTTTTTGTGAAAGAAATTCATCTTCCATTGCTTCTACTTGCTTTTTTTCCTTTAGAGAGAATCTATGATTGACTTTGCCTTTTGGTCCTTGTATATTCATTTTTTTTTTCGGTAGTTTTGTGATGGGAGTATTTCTTGGAACAGTTATGTACTTATGTCATTTGGAAGAAGATCCTTATTTGACGCTAGAAAAATCAGACTTGATTTGTACTTTGGTTTGCTTTCAACTTTGACCTAGAGAGGATTGGTTGAGTGGTGTTTTGATAATTTCAAAAGGGCTGAGGAAATCTTCGGTTTGTTACTGTATTGGGTGGTTTGCTTGTAAAGCCAATTCTAAGTAATTGAAGTGAGATTATTGAATTTTAGTTTTGATAGATAACAAACATCAAATATGGAGCTTGTTCACAAAAATACAGAAAACTAATCAGTCTTATCTGTTGATGTCTAATAGATGAGAATGGATCTTTTTCTAATGTCAAATGAAGAAATAATTGCTTAATTTTGCTTCAGAGGAAAAATGAGTGAAAATAACATTTGAAATAATTGTATCATAAAATTCCTTAAGAGTGCATCTATAAGCTATTTTTCTTTAAAATTTTCTCAAACAAATTTCTTTTCTAATAGAGGCTGAAGAATGATCATTACAATACTAATAAATGCTTATGCACCTTCAATCTTATATTGTGAGTGATTCATTTATTAGTGTTTGCTTTTACTTGGGCATGTTATAATATTCAAGTTTGATCTTTTATGAAAGAGAGAATGACATTGCATCTTTGCCACGATGACATTGCATCTTTGTGGGAATGTCCACATTTTTGTTGTAACACAGCAATTTTAGAAAATATAAAATCGAATGCGAAGCTTATAAATTTTTTATTTAATAATTTTAATGCAATATTAGAATTAGCTTTGAATTATATATATATATATATAATGAGTGAGTTTTCTTCCTAAGAATTAAAGCTGATTTCCCCTCTACTCAAGAGCTTTCATTTTTTTTTTTAGGAAAATTTGGGCTTTGCCCGTATATTAATAAATAAAAGAGGAGAAACGATTACATCTAACGATTACAAAAACTTCCCAACAAAAAAAATGGGACAACTCATTCGAGCGTACAAAAACCCTGCTCTAACCAGATCAAGCATAACAAAAACATAATTGTAACTAAACCAAAAAACTGGATATCTAGAAAGCAAAAAACTCCCATAGACATTAACACATGGGCTCAGAAAAACAAAATTCTCTAATAAAATATCCCCTTGGTTGCCCGGAGACCATCAAAAGGGGCCTGCTTGGGAGTAGCATCATTGACCAGATGTGTCCAATCTAGCGCAGCAGGCATGAGGAGAGGACCCCTCCTCATATAATCTATAAGCATGCTCGAAGGGCCATATACCAGATCAGAAACCACATTGCAGATCCAACAGAGCACCTGCATAGAATAACAAAGAGCAGCCCAGCAAAGGTAACAGCTAATCATAAATAGAGCACATATCCTTCCACATTCCCAACTTGGAATTGACAGCTTTTTTAATAGTAATAGCAGTAGTAGAACTACTGCTAAAAGTATTACCAAATCTTCTCATATTTCTCTCTTTCCAGATATGATAAACACTGCAGCAAGTGATAAGCGAGTAATAGTTTTTAGTAGGCTGGGCAGTATCAGAATCATCCGAGATCCATTCCAAAAGATGTAGAATATTTGGCCTAAACAACAAATGCATAGTGGATGGAATAAGATTAATCAAAATATCATAAGAGTAAGAGCACTCAAAGAATATGTGAGAGGAGCTCTCGGGAAAGACATGGCATAAGGAGCAAGACGACGGAACAGAAATGTTCCATAAAAGTAAAGCATCCGCAGTTTTTAATCCACCCACAAGAGCCAACCATGAAAAGACTGTGAACCTCAGAGCATACTTCTTGTGCCAGATTAGCTTATACCAAGAGCAGATGGGCTTGCTAGAATGAAAATCATTAATATAATCTGAAAATCTACTGTGCTTAAGATTGTTCCAGCTTACACAAGAGTTGGAATCCAAATAAATCGGGATATCACGAATGGCTAGCTGCACATTGTCGGGGATACAGTTGGGAAGACTCCAGTAATTATCACAAATTAAATCCCTAATAAGCATGTTAGGATTAGTAGCTTGCAAGACATAATGCCCATCCGAAAAGCTATCCAGATCACCATTATAACACCAATGATCCCAGTGCACAGCAATGGGGGCAGTAGGAGTAATCTTAAAAATAAAGTTGGATTTTGCAACCACAGCCATATGACACACATATTTCCATAAAGGAGTAGCTGCCAGATTAACAGGTTTCCAAGGGGATTTGTATCTTTGGGAAAGCCAAACAGATAGCAGAGAAGTAGTATTATACATTCTAATGATGATAGCATAGTTATAAGCGTATTGCATAGCCAAAAAAGAATGCAGACCCACACCACCAAATTGAATAGGCAAGAAAACTCTGTCCCAAGCCACCATATGGATCTTTTTTGACACACCAATTTCCCCAAAAAATTGAAATTATGGAGCTGATTTTCTTAAAGTGCTTAAGCACAGTTTTAGGCATAATACCACCTCTAATCCAATATGCAATAGAGTTTATCATAGAGAATTTCAGAAACTGAAGTCTTCCAGCAAAAGAGAGTAAATTAGCCTTCCAGCCCGAAAGCTTTTTGTCAATGCTATCCATAAAGCAAATATAATCAGCCACTTTAAGCCTCCTAAATAGACCTGTCAATTTCGGGTTACGGGTCGAACCAACCCGACCCGTAAGTGACCCGGATTTATTCGGGTTCGGGTCAACCCGACCCGGTTTTATAAACGGGTCGATTTTAAACGGGTTTTCGGGTTGACCCGGCAACCCGTCGGGTCAACCCGAACCTGACCCGTTTTTGCAAACGGGTCGGTTTCCCGGACCCGAACCCAACTCGCTTCGGGTTCGGGTCAACCCAAACCCGAAAATTCCAGGTTCGGATCTGGTTTTTGGGTCGGGTCAAATATTGACAGGTCTACTCTTAAAGGAGAGAGGGATGCCAAGATAAAATATAGATGAGGTAACACTTTGAATAGATAAAGCCTGACATATGCTCTCTTGATTAATAACAGCCTTAGGAAACATGATAGAGCACTTATCGAGATTAATTTTTAATCCAGTAGCATTGGCAAAAGTGGTAAGTATATTATTAAGTACCATACAATTCTCAATATTTGCTTCCCCAAAAATAAGCACGTCGTTAGCATATAATAGGTGTGAGACAGAGCAACTCCCCATCTTAACACCTATGAAATTACCATCGTCTAAAAGAGAGGAGAGAGCATCCATTACTAAACAGAATAGGTAAGGGCTGAGTGGGAAACCTTAACTAGGGGTGTCAATTTTTGACACGACCCGAAACACGACCCGAAGCCAACCCGGAAAAATCCGGGTTCGGGTCAACCCGAACCCGAAACGGGTCGGGTTCGGGTTGAACAAATCAACCCGTTTTAAAAATCGGGTCAGGTTCGGGTTGACCCACCAAACCAAAATTGACACGAAAATGACCCGAAAGTGACACAAAAACTCATATTTTACCCGAAAACCCGAGGTTGACCCATTTTTTACCCGATTTTGACTCGATTTTGACCCGAAAATCGAATATTGACCCGATTTTGACCCAAAAATTAGCAATTTGAGGTCAACTTCGGGTCATTCGTGTCGGGTCGGGTTGACCCGGACCCGAATCGGGTCGGGTTCGGGTCAGGAAACCTAACCCGTTTTTAAAAACGGGTCGGGTTCGGGTTGACCCGAACAGTGCCGGGTTAGTTCCGGGTTCGACCTGAACCCGACTCGCTGACCCGAATTGACACCCCTAGTCTTAACCCAGCAGAAGATGAAAAATACCCTTCTAGGTACCCATTAACCAAGATAGAGAAATTGACATCATGAATGCAAGCTTTCACCCAAGAAACAAAAATACGAGGAAACCCTTTTTGAACCATCCTCCCAATCAAGAATTCTCTTGAAACTGTGTCGAACGCTTTCCGAATATCAAGTTTGGCACAAAAGAACTTGCCACCACTTTTCTTAACAAAATTAATGATTTCTTTGGCAAGGATAATGTTATCAGTGGATATTTTGGATTTGACAAAACCAGATTGGTTAGATCAAATAATCAAAGGCATAATAGGCTTGATCCTATTTGAAAGAGTTTTTGCAATTATTTTATAAATAGTATTGCACAAGGCTATGGGCCTAAAATCCGCAATTGTTTCAGCATTCTTATGTTTAGGGATCAAGGCTATAGTAGTAGCTTTAATAGAGGAAGGTAAATATCCTTTGGAGAAAAAAGATTTGATAGCCTTACAAACCATAGGCCCAATAACATGCCACCCAGATTTATAAAAAAGGAAATTAAAGCCGTCAGGTCCAGGAGTGGAAGATGAAGAGCCAGAAAATACAGATTTCTTAATTTCCAGGTCAGAAACTTGTTCAGTAAGGATGCCCCAGTATATTTCCGGAATACTAACACCAGTCGGAAAGCAGTTTATATCAACATTTTGAGAGACGGGAGGATTGAACAGTGTTTGAAAATGGCAGATAATGTCCTGTATAGCATTGTCAGAGCTGCCCATATTAAGGGAAGATAAAAGATTTACCGCAGTTCTACTATTCCCTTGCCTGCACTTGATCCTAGTGTATAAGAATTTGAGGTCATCCTCCCCATGCTTTAACCACTTAGCCTTAGCCCTTTGAATAATCCAGGAGGATAAAAAGCCAGTATAAGCAGTAATATTGTGATTGACAGAAACAAGAGATGAGTTGAGAGTAGGATCAATAGGATTGATTTGTAGCTTGTCTAGAATGAGTTTCTGATGCTTATTAAGCTCCTCTAAATGCCTGTTAATAGAATTAGAGCTAGCCCATGACTCCTTAATAGCAGATTTCAGATGCCTTAAGGTGCTGTAGAGAGAAACCATAGGATTGCCAGTAATATGATTAGAAAAAACATTCAGAAGTATCGACCAATACCTTTCAAAATTAGTCCAGAAGTTATTGAATAAGAACCCGTGACTGGATTTAATGGAGAGCCCCGAGTGAATAATGAGGGGGCAGTGATCAGAGCAAGATGGGCTTTGAATAGAGCAAAAGGTGGCTGAATATAAGTTTAACCAAGCATGGTTAATTAAAGCCCTATCCAATTTAATGTGGATTGGATTGTCACTCCTTTGGTTGAACCAGGTGAATGCATTCCCAACAGTTTGAATGGCTCTAAGGCTTAAATAAAAAATCAAGTTATTGATATTAGCAAGAGCACCTTGATGTAAAGGCAATCCCCCTTTTTTCTCATAAGTAAATCTACAACAGTTGAAGTCTCCAATCAGGATCCAAGGGACATCCTGATTAGGAGAATTATTAGCAACCAAATCCCACAAGTCCTTCCTATCAGTGGCAGAATTAGAGGCATAAATTACCGTGAGTTGGAAACTTTCATTCCTACCAAATGTGACCATTCCAGTGATGAATTGAGTCGTGGTTATGAGGGGAGTGAAATTGAGCTTATTAGCATTCCATTTGATCAAGATCCTACCAGAGGATGATAAAGAAAAATTGTGATAATTTCTTTCAGAGCTAAAGACAGAGTGAGCATTGTCGAAAAAATGATTCTGAAAAGAATTGGAATTAATCCGGGCCTCCGGAATACAGATCATATCTAGATTGAAAGATTGTGCTAGACGTTTACAGCACAAGACTTTGTCAGGTCTGTTAAAGCCCCTGACATTCCACGCGGCAAAGTTCGGGACAGACATTAAGAAGAGGAATTTGATGGGCCTTTTTTCTTGCCCCTTGTTGATTTCTTCCCCACTGTAACAACTGCGTTTCAGATGTTGTTTTACCTTTAGGAGAGTCAGGAGGTTTGTCTAACTCCTGGTTGTTAAGCAGGATTTCATACTTGTTGGGAGAGATAACTCCCGGGGGAGACGACTCTGCTTTTTCAGTAGGGATTGGTGATGTTGAAGAAGAGGATACTTCCATAGGAGAATTCAAATTGGGGATGCTTGTGGAACCAACTTCAATGACTTTGGAATAATTTTCCATAGAGGATCCTTCCGTCTGGACAGGGGGCAATGAAGCTTTTGATTTAGAAGTAGGAGAATGGGGTTGGTAATTAAGAGGCAGACCAATGCTATTCGTTATAGGTTTGGTAGGAGGATTTGAATCTGATGCAACTTTTGGAGATTCTGTTTGAGGATGCATTGGAGGTTTAGAAGAGCTATGCTGACGGGCAGGTCCAGATTTCTTGCTACGGTTCCTGTTATGACTCCTACCTCTATAATTCTTATCCACCAGTTTCGAAGCATCCACGACATCAGACTGAGGCCTGGAAGGGAATAAAGAAGTGTAATGAACCAAAGACTTACAGTGATCACATGGAGACGGTCTCCATTCGTATTGAACCTTAAGAGCTACTGTGGACCTCCGAAAGAGCACCGTGCAAACGGGTCAATTAGAAGGGACAGATTGGATCGTGCATACGACTAACCATTGAGGATAGAGGCTGTCGCCAACACTCCCCGATGGATAGCAATATACACGACCTAGTCACGGGTTTCCCCCACCCGATGCAAGAGCTCGAATGGAGTTTAGTAGATGTGGGATCGAGTTTCCCACGGGCGCAAGCCCCAGTGGTTAATTACATCCCAGGCCGGAGCCTGAGAAAACTCTCGATTAAGGATCATACATTATCCTCTCCTAAAGTGGGATTGGCACATGGGTATAGACTAGGAAATCCTATCCAAAAGGAAGAAATGTCTCAAAGAGGCTCAATCAACATGCGTGACTCATACCAGCATTCGAAGGCTCTAGGGTACTAAAAAGAAATTGGAGAAACTAAAACCAAACACTCAATCACATGCGTGAGAGAAAAGATGGAAGTGGCGTCATCCTGTGACGCAGATAAGTTGGATTTGGAGTCCCTGAGAAGAAAGGACCTACCTACCATTTAAGGCATACTACGAGACCGAATGTAGTAGCCTCGAATCCTAAATCTAGATTGGGCTTAGTGCTCTACAAAACACTAAGGCCCGTGTCCTAGCTAATGCAATGCAAAACCTGGACTTACCCCAGCCTGGATTGGGGGAACCAGCTAACCTCCTAATCGTTTTAAAACCATGATATCAAGTCATTTATGATAGATGGCTGGGAGTTACGGTTCTTTGGAAGTAGGACCGACATCTAGAGAATTTCCTAAGTGGTCATGGACTTATGTGGGTCAGATGCCTCTAACTAATGCAATTAAATTTTAATTAAATTGGTTTCTAATGCAATGCATGCTAGTTGAAATGTCAGCTCATGAATGCTATAGAATTTTAAAAACAGGCTTATAGAAAATAAATTTTTAAAAAGACTGGGTCTCCCTAGGTCCGACACTTCATCCTCATAGGCCAGATTATCCGGACTCTACCCGCAGGCAGGGAGATGTCTTATAACAAGGAAAGAA